AAAAATAAACAAACAAACAAACAAAAAATCATATTCCTTTAATTCTAGCACTCTTGAGGCAGAGGCAGGTTGATCTATGTGAGTTCAAGGGTGGCCAGGGCTATGTACAGACCTGTCACAAAAACAAGATACAAAAGTGTGTGTATTAAGGTGGGGGGGGGCGGGGTGGGAACCAACACTGAATAAGTAAAAATCTTGACACACAGGAAGAATGAGGGGAAGAGAAAAAAAGGTGAGGAGAGGGAGAGAAAAAGGGAGGAGAGGAGGAGGAGGAGGAGTAAGAGGATGGAGAGAGAGAGAGAGACAGATAGACTGGAGTGAGAAAAAGGGGGGGGAGAAAGGAAAACACATGGGCAGGAGCACAGAAGAGATGAGTTTGCACTGTCAAGGAAACTGAGGTGGCCAGCAGAGAACAGAGTTTATCACTCTGTAACTTTCACATATCACATTCCTTTTTTATATTAACCACAGGTTATTTATTTTGTATCCCAGCTGTAGCACCCTCCTCATTCCCCCCTAATCCCACCCTCCCTCTCTCCCTCATCTTCTCCCTGCCCCTTTCCAAGTCCACTAACAGGGAAGGATTTATTTATTATTTATACAGCATTCTGCCTGCATGTGTGCTGTCACACCAGAAGAGGGCATCAGACCTCATTATAGATGATTATGAGCCACCATGTGGTTGCTGGGAACTGAACTTAGGATCTTTGGAAGACCTCTGACCCATCTCTTCAGCCCGCATATCATATTCTTTAGCTACCCTTCCAGCATTCCTACTAAAAGGGAGGTCTTAATTTCACAAAATAGTTCAAAATAAAATTGCATTCAACATGGTTTTTGCCATCATTGAAGATATGTATTGGGGAAATATAATTTGCATAGTGCTAGTACTTTTTCAAAATAAAGAATGATAATGTAAGGTCAGGCTCAACAACCTGAAGCAGAGAACGGCAGATATCCAAGTTTACATAGCACCGCAGGATGCAACACTACAGCCTACATAACACTGGTGGCAGCCAGATACTCATTCTGGGTTGGAAATAACTCACCATTGAGAGTAAAGAGGCAGCCATCCTAAGTCCAGCTTTCGCCTCTCCCTTCCTTGCTCCACCTGCTGCATCACGTTATTTCCTCTCCTGTGTAGGTTTAATGTCAACAGCCGTCAATCTGAAGAGTTCTTTCTCTGCTGCCACCTACCCGTTTAGCTCTCTGCTGCAGCAGAAGGGTATATAGAAAAAGGCCTTGCTTATTGTTCAAATTAAACAAAAGCTTTAACATTTCATATTTTCACATGTGAATCAACATTTTCATATCTTGCCCATCCCACCTCAATAATCAGGAGGAAAAAAATCCAATCACAGAAAATCAAATAATGTATAATCAGTGTCCATGCTAAGCTAGGAAAATTAAAAATGAAAAGCAAGAGGAACGATTGATTATACACTCCATAGTCATTATCTCTGAGCCGCCTTCTGTTATTTTCTTACATATCCCTAAGAGGTATTAATAAATGTGTGATTTAAACTTCATCTAGGTGGTCTACAATTCCTACAAATTTCAAATTCAGAGACTACCCAAAGAACCATGGAAGACATGAATATAAAGTAATTCTAGAAACTAAGGGTATTAGGTGCTTTACCTGCTTGAGATTCAGTGTTCTGGACTGCTTATTGCCCAATGGCTCTGAATACATTAAAACACGAACACATACGCCACCTACATTTAAAATAGGGTAGCATTTGTATGCCCATAAGCATTGGGTATTGTTTTTGCAAGAGAGTTAATATTCAGTAAGTCCCTTAGAAAGGACTGGCCATGAATGTACATTTCCTTAAACTATTTACCTATACTGAAAAATTAGGGGGAACGGAAAAGAATGACAAAAAGTAATAAACAGTTGTAAGAGAATTGGGAATTAACATAGCATAAGGTCTTCTGCTTTTTAAAATCTTAGATCCACTTCTATTCCCACTGGAGCCTACATCTGAAATTTATTTGCTATTAGACACTAAGAAGCTATATCCAAGAGCAGACCAGCAAAAATAATGGCTTGTTTTTTCCACCCTCCCATTGCCTTTACCCCAAATAAATATATGTACAGCCTTGCCAACTTAGAGCAATAAAACAAACACTGACATGAGCACCAAAAGCTGGTCAACAGCAGCACTGCAATGACATCGCTTCTACTTTCTCATTCCTTCCCCCATCTCAAACCCCACCCTTTTGACCTCTGCATATGGGATGAGCCTGAGCAGGAGAAGTTGGTGATGTCAGGACTGCGCCGTTCCCACGGATGCTCCTAGAGGCCTGCTGTGCTTCTGGGAACTGAGGCACAGGGATGGGTGTCTGACTGAAACCTAAAACAACAACAGTTCACCCCACCCCTCATGTTTCCCAAACCCAAAATAGCAGCCAGGTAAATACACTAGATAAGGTCCACCTAGTAACTTTGAGTACAATAAAATCTACAGCAGATTCCTTACAAGTCAGCAGTATTTAATGGGGCAGCACAATGGGGGTTGTTTAAACTCTCCACACCCTATCCAGTGCATTCTAGTGATGGCCAATCTCATCAGCCAGAGAACAATCTCCTGAAGGAGTCCTTCTCAGAACATCTCGTACACCGCTGCAGGAGTGCAGCTGGGATTCCTGGGCGAGCAAATTTCAGTTCAGTTCAACAGGTAATTACCTTAAGATGCTAAAGAATGTCCCTATCAGCTGAAGCACAGACAGAACATACTAATGATAATTTATTACATGTTTCTCTTTAGCTGTAGAAAAGGCACTGAGGGGCCAGGGTTTCTTATTCACTAACTAGTGGTTTGCTGAATGTATACACTCTTTGTGTAGGACATTATAAGTTACCAGATAAACCTACGCAAAAAAGAGAAAGAAATAATGTCTAATGTCTCTGAAATCCTTTATTAGAAAGACATTACGGCCCCAAATGTAAACTACAAGGACTAGGTTCCAGAGTGAAATCCTTGAAAGGACAGGAAAGAAGGAAACAGTGAGTAGACGGGGACAGACAAAGAGAAGAGATAACTGGCAGAAACTACAAATCGTACAACTTCTATGCTGCCACTTACTTTGTTTTATGACCCTAGCTAATCTGGTTCTGTGCTTCACAAATACTCCCCTATATATTCAAATCTATAACGTGTATGCTTCAGGATTTGATAGTATGTAACTGTTCACAGTTATCTCTGTTAGGACTCATCTGTCAGGCTACAGCAACTACTTCTGTACACACTGGCTCTACAATGACTTAAATGTTCTGTTTTGCTTCACGTGTCTCTTGTACTCCACTATGGCCAACTGAACACTACAGTGTGTTTTAAAACCATATATATAACCTAGAACCTAGTTTACCTTTACACAACTCTAGTTTTCCATACCTGTCAACTCCTAATTGATGTCTTTAAATTGTGAGCTCACTGTGTATTCGGAACACCAACCCCTGAAAAAGCTTAAGCCAGAGTAGCACAATAGAAGAAACAAACCCACAACAAACAAAGCCAAAAAGTCACACTCTGAAAAACGTAATTATAGACATATATGCAAACAATGGAGTATCTAAATGGCTAAAAGCCCAAAGTCCTGAGTTCATTCCAATTGATTCAGACTTTACCCCATACACTCTTTACATTACTTGCCACCATATTTATGCATCATTTGTAAAAACCAAGTTATGATAAAATCATGGTTGCCTTAAAATGTTACAGAAAGAAAATGTTAGCCTTCTGATAGAAATTAAGAAGAAACCAATTACCTGCCAGCAGGCTGGGCTGTGCCTGGTCCGAGCCACTGCACTGAGCACTCGCTGCACAGCTGCATTACTGGGGGAGGGGAAGTTTAGAAGGGCACTGACCCCAAAGCTCTCAAAACGTCTCACTCATCAGCAGGAAGGGGGAAGAAGGAAAGTGTTTTCTCTGAGTATTTTTTGTTTGTTTGTATTTGTATATTTTGGCTCCTGAAAAGGCTGGCAAAGAACAGTAACAGTGCAAGATATTAGAATATTTCTTGAAAAACAATTTTAAAAATGCAAACATTAAGGAATTTTTAAGAACCAAACTTTTGTTAACATAGAAAAAAATTTCACTAGAGTTAGGCAGCCACCCCAAAAGGCATGGCAAAGGGATAAAGGAAATAAAATATCACACAAACCCCAAAACAAAATGAAAACATTTCAAATCTAATCTGGAAGACTAGGTGATTCCAACAGCAGACTCTGTCCATTGCTAAAACATTCCAATTCAAGGTGCCTACATTATATTAAGCAAAAGTTTTTCTTTTTTCTTTATGAAACAAAAGAAAGCAGTGAACCTGGTTATGAATCCTGCAATATATTACATTTTTTAAAATCCTAGCACAACAAAAGTAAAATGTAAATAAAACCGAACAAACAGACAAACAAACAGCAGCAGAGGTTACCTGTCTGAGCACCTACATTTTCTTAGGAGGGGATCGTGTCTCACCAGCCAAATAGCCCATAAACCTTCTCAAAAACAGCGAACCAAGAGAAAAATATAACACAAGATTTGATTTCACAATGTCTCTAACAACCCCCCAAACCCAAACTGGGGGTTCACTGAATGAAGAGCATTTGTTTTTCCATTGTTTTCCTTCTTGAGAAAAAGAAGAGATGATTGACAGTCAGTGACCTTTTCCACAGCCTTCAGTGCTTTTGCTTAAAGTCTGACAAAGTGCTTGATGAAAGCAAGTCTCTTGTTGGATTGTTTCTAATGTTCCAGGGTAGTTTCTTATTGATAGCATAAAGATTTCAAAGTTCATTGGAGAAAAGCCAGCAGAAATGACCAATTATACGTATCAAAAGAAAAATACTTATTAGAAAGTTTAAGTGGCATAGTTCATATGCATAGATCTATATAAGAGTCCAATTATCATCATAGGTAACATAAAAACACCAGAATCATTAAAATACAATTAACAATTACAATCTTAACAGTATACAAAAAATTTACAGTAATTCAGATTTGTCATGATTACACAAATTTTATACATTTTCTCATAGTAGTGATGAGGACTATACAAAAGTTACGAAAACAATTCTGAAAAGGGCAACTATCCCTTGTTTCCTTTGAGTTCTTCCAGAATGGTTTATTCTCATTCTTTACCTTAATTTGAGAAGATTCAAGACGATCAGTTCTACTGTTTGCAGTCTAAGGTGTGAGTGCAGCACCCAGAAGGCGGCTGGGGAAGAGCTACGTTCCAGCACTGCGCATGCACAGTGGCCGCAGCAACAGGAATGAAATGGCCAGTGAAAACTTTCATAATAGTGCTTGCTTTAGAAAACTGGCTGGCTGTAATTGTCCTGTTTCTTTATCCCATCATAAAAAATAAACTTTTCATCCAATGAAGATGTTCTATTTGTTTTTAAGTGCATGAACTTACATACATGTATATCATAATGTATGTGGCAACCAGATGGTCTTAGGATCTGATTACACAACTGTTCATTTATTTGTCTATACCAAATAGTATGCACTCTCCAAAATGTGATCATTCAGCAAAGTACCAAGTACTTTTATTCTATTAATGAATCAGAGGTATGCATGATTCCCAATAACCCTGTGCAAATCAAAACGGGCAGATGAAATAGGGTACCCTAAAGATAAATTAGAAACTCCTTATGTGCCTTTTTTCTGAGGTGAAATGAGAGTTCACAGATTATAGGTACTATTCTATTTGTCAACAAAACCTTTCACTCCATACTTTTAATATTATTTAATTCTATGTGGAGAAACCAAGTTTTATTACATTCCTTTTTAAAATGGGGCAGAACTATACATTAAGCATGATCAAACCTCCATCAGAGCTGAATAATGCTGATGTTTTATTACCACCTTGAAGTCTCTAAGTAGAGTCCAAGAAATTACGTTAAGGTCCATCTGAAGGAAAACAGTGCTGGAGAGGCAAGAAAAGCTTGGGAAAAACGCTGCAGAGATTTGTAGGGAGATGAAACTTGCTGTTTAAAAATTATGCTGACCCCTGAAGCATCTCCATTTCTTAACACATCTTCCAGACTCATCACTGGAATAGATTTTTCCTTGTATTAAAGGCTCATATGATATGCAGTTTGGGGGCTTTCATTAATTCAGAAAAGGAATAGAGTGTCAGTACTGAAGGCTTAGGAGTAGGGCTATGAGACTCAATATGTTAAAAAATCCCCAAATTAGAACATCTAGTCCACCTCCCTCCAGAACTTAAAATGTAAAAAAGAAAATGCACAGCCATAACATTAAATAAAAGCATGTAGCCTTGAATAAATCATACACCAAACAGTCTACAAAAACAAACAACATACATACACACAAAAAAGCCTAAGAAACATCTACTTTCCTATTGTCTCTAGGGGAGTAGCTCTAAACTATCAGAGTCTAAGGCAATTCATCTGTTTTGTTTTGTTCTGTCTTAAGTAAAAAACTGTTTCTCATCATGCCATTCTCTAGAATCTATTCTTTTTGTCTGGTGTAAACAAAGAATAAAACATGTACACTTGCATGCAACACATATACTCCTTTCTAAAATGTGAAAAATGCAAATAAAAATTAGCATTAAGAAATCATTTCAGCTTTATACCTAACAACGCTGACTTGCCTCCCTGATATGTCCCTGTCCGTAACCTTTAAATGTCTAATTCATCAAAAGGGAAAAAGGGGAAGGGTGCAGGGAGACTTTTAAATGTGTATATTTTGAGTAGGTGTCTTGTTAACCAAAAAAGTAGCATTTTGTTTACTTTGGCCATTGTTAAAGATGCAGTCATAGAGCAAGGGATGTTACCAGCATGTATTAAAAATGCAACATTAACAGAGCATGTATCTTTCAAAAAAGACTAAAACACTAACAAATACAAGTCAATGCACAAACTTCAACTAGTGTAACTTTATCTACATTGAGTAAATGTTACTTTGTATACCAGACATTGCAATACTGTTCACTTCCCTTTCATCATGCAAACATGCCAATTTTGTTATTAAAAATCTTTATTGGATTATAGTCACATTACCCTCCCACCCAAACTAAGGGGAAAAAAAACAGAAGACGAACAACTTGAAAATAAGAAATCCCAGTCAGAGCCCCTTAGAGTTCATAAACAACTATGCACTAAATGCTAGCTGAGAGAAACGGCAGAATTTTCAGATCACTAAAACATTTCTGTATTTTAAGCAGATGTTTTCCTCTTTATAAAACATGAAACTGTGAAGTCATGCTATCAAGTACTTGGATCAAAACCATCCTATGTATGTAAAAATGAAAGCAAGAGACCATGGGGAGAAAAAAATCTTCCATGTTCCTCATGGCCTAAGAGCTGCATTTTAGTAAATGAAAAGGTAACACGAGAGCCTGCCATTTCTCCGTGTATCACCTATTAGTCCTCTCTGTAGAACCTGTAAATGAGTCAGTTAAGTATTACTACCAGAGGTCTCATCTATTTTCCCTTCTTCTAACCAATCTTACTATACCTTTCTCTCAACCTCCTGAGCATTTTCCATGAACAGCATTGCAAGTTGGTTAAAGGGGAAGGGGATGGGGTTCAGGGAGACAGTTTTACAAGGATTTTGTTGGTTAATTATTTACCGGTGGAGTCACTCCACCAGGAGTTTGATTTCATTGGCTAGCAGCTGGTTCATGTTGAATAGGCCCCCTGGGAGCTTGGGGAGCAGCTCTCGCTCGGTGGTGCTTTCAGGGTCGCTATCGACAGAGCTGGAACTTGCGCTCATGTTGTCGACAGCAGCGCTGGCAGGGGGACCAAGCTCCGGCTCACTAGTCTCACTGGCCGTGGACACCACAGAGAGCAGGGACATGCGCCGGGTGAGCCGGCCAGCGGGCAGAAGGGAGGCAGCATAGTCTGCTATGATACCAGCTACATCTAGATTACAAGCCTTATCAAAGGCGATGAAACCTACATTTGCATTTGCCTCGCAGACACAGAAGGAGCCGTCATCTTTCATCAACAGGTCAATGCCACACACATCCATCCCCAGGATGTTAGACACCTGGATTGCTAGCTGCTTCCCTTGTTCACTCAATGAGCACATCATCCCCACACCACCTGGCAAATTAAGAGAAGAGGCAGAGAGTTACCAACTTTTGGAGTAGAAGTAATACAATTCTAATGTAAAATTGGTTTTTGTTTTGTCCTATTAAGACTAGATCATAATTATGTAGGCCAAACTGTCCCAACACTCAAGACCCTTTGCCTCAGCCTCCCGAGTGCTGGCACGATGGGCATGCACTACCACCACTGGCTTAAATTAAAACTTCTTAATCTTCCAGAACATAGATCAAAGAAGAAGAGTGAGAAAAGTCTTAGGAAGACATTAAACCTTCATGAAAGTCTATCTTGCTTATGACAACATGGACTAAATAGGGTCCCTTGGTATCACAAGGGAAGGCTTGCAGAATCTTCCATCCCCACCAAAGACAACAAAACCCACAGGTCACAAGCCCTTAACAGGGTCTGCAGTACTTACAGCCTGTTGCATACTTTAAATCAGGCCCAGAGTATAATACCGGATACAATGGAAACACCGAAGAGTTGTTAAAATGTTATTGCTTAGGAACAATGATAATATTACGTTCGATGCAGGTGTAACCATTGCAGGCTCAACCTTCCAGTTCACAAACTCAACCCAAACAACACTCTCAGTGTGCCAGGGAAAGGATGAGGATCCCAGGAGGCTAAAGTAGAAACTGACTATTACTTGATTTGGGTGATTTAGCATAGTATTTGCTTTTTAAGAAGCAACACACTCACTGAGCTCTACTCACCAACTAAGAAACTTTTTGTTGTTGTTTTTGTATTTTAAGTTCTCAGTTGAATCACTTGAATCCGAAGATATGGAGTTTATGTTAAAAACATTTACATAAAAATAATTAGAGCACCTGATTTTATATATTATATAAAAAGTGGAGAAACCCAGTGAGTCTGGGAGTCTGAGGTCACCCTTGCCTACAGAGTGAGTTCCAGGCCAGCAACGGTTATACAGTGTGACTCTGTCTCAGAAAAATTTAATACAAACATAAATATAGGGACAAAACCATTTGTGAAACTTAACTCGGAGGAGCAGGGTATGGGGAAAAGGCAGTCAAGAGACTGAGGCAGGAGGAGAGAGAGCTCAAGATTAGCCCAGGCTACACAATTAATTCAAGGACAGCCTGGGATATCCATCAAGACCATGTCTCAGAACAGAACAAGAAAAACCAAAACAACAACAAAAGTAAAATTAATAAAACCAAATATATGTTTTCTTCTTCTTCTTCTTCTTCTTCTTCTTCTTCTTCTTCTTCTTCTTTTTCTTTCAAGACAGGGTGTCTCTGTGGAGTCTTGGCTATCCTGGACTCACTTTGCAGACCAGGCTGCCCTTGAACTCACAGAGATCTGCCTGCCTCTGCCTCCCATAGTGCTTGGATTAAAGCACAGACAAAGATACAAAGAAAGAAACTTAAAATTAAAAAAAGAAAACAAAAAGGAAATTTGAAGGGGCTGGAGAAATGGCTCAGAGGTTGAGAGCACTGGCTGCTCAATTCCCAGGAACCACATGGTGGCTCACAACCATCTATAATGAGATCTGGTACCCTCTTCTGGAATGCAGACAAAATACTAATAAATATATAATATACTAATATTATAATATAATATTATAATACATAGTATATATGGATATGTAATTTATAATAATATATAAATAAATAAATAAATACATCTTTTGTAAAAATCTGAGAAATTGAATGAGAAAAAAAAAAATCTTCCAGAAGGAAATAGATGGAGAAGAGAGGGTAACAAAAGAGTGAAATTCAGAGGGGCACTGGAGAGATGGCTCAGTGGCTGGCAGCACTGGTTGCTTAGGACATAAATTTGATTCCCAGAACCCACATGGTACACAGACAATTTCTGAAACTGGTAGATTAAACAGCTTACTAAAATACAAGTTAACAGCAGGAATGGTAGCCAAGCGTAGGATGGATCACAAGCCTTTAATCCTAGCACTAGATGTGGCAAGGCCCGCTTAAGTTAAAAGCACTTTTTACTTTTAAGGTAACAAGGGGATCAGTGGAAGAGAGAGACAAGAAAAGCAAGTGTGGCTAGGCATGAGGAATATGCTAAACACATAATATATACAAACATGAGAAGCTCGACCAGAAATGGAAAATTTTAAGTTATCACAAAAAAGAAAGGAAATTCATGATCAGTGAAACCTAACTCACTAACAATGATGGCAGGACTACAATTTCCATGTGGAAAGCACAATCAATTTATACACCAACAGAAAGGTGCTACACCATCTTTACCTAGGGAACAGTTGCTTTGCATCCTTCCATCTGTCGAACAACGCAACATGGTGCCAACTACACGGCCTCCCACAACAATGACTCGTACGTCCCTTCCATGAGACTCTTTAATGTATTTCTGGAACAAATACGGAGCTTCATGCCGAATAAGATGGCTTAGGTCAGCTAAGTGGTGTTTATCTCTTGCCAAGAAAACAGCTTTGCCTAGGATTTAAAAAGAATAAAAAATATAATGCATGCAAGTCATGAAACTTTGGATAGCTGATAAATATACATTCTTGGGTCCTAATATACTCTTTCAGATTCAAGCATACTTGTACGTTTTCAGAGTAGTCTTTGATTAAAGCGACTTAGTCATGGTTACTGAGATAATGTAAAAAATGTATGGAGCCAAACTTAATAATCTATTATTTTCCCAAACAAACTCTTATGGTTAACTACAGTTAATTAACCATGGGTTTGTGATGTACAGGGCGTGCATTGTAATTCCTCCAAAGGTTAGGCAATGTTAGCTTTAGCAAATCCCTTTCCCCTGAGTTAAATACACATAGCCATTAAGATTAACACTCTATCACAACACAGTAACAGAGAAACTACAGATTTGTTTCTGAATTCTCTAGTCTGCCCCATTGCTCTATTCATTTATCTTAATTCCAATGAAGGTTGCTCTTTTTTGTTTTTGAGAAAGGGTTTCTCTGTGTGTAGCCTCGTCTGGCCTGGAACTTGCTTTGTAGACCGGCCTGACCTTGCACTCAAGAGATCCACCTGCCTCTGTCTCCCAAGTGCTGGGATTAATACTGTGTGTCACTATGCAGGGCAGAGGTAGCTCTTTTTAGCATATGGCTATAAGTTCTGTTCTGGGGTATCTGAGTCTATGTTCCTTTCTGTTGACTTCTAACATTAAGCCATAGACAGGTAAGCAGCTTCTTTGTTTACTGAGTATTCACCACAGGAGGCCCCAGGTTCTCAGCTATCATATTAAGGAAGCCAAATAAACAACAAACTCAATGGCTCTAGCTGAACTTTGATCCATGTGTCCCAGTCAAGGTATAACACCTGTCATATCCTTACATTTATTATATTTTCTGCTTAAGAGTTTTTTTTTCCTCTTTTTAAGATTTATTTTTTACAATTTATTCATTTTATATCCTGATTGTAGCCCCCTCCTTCAACTCCTCCAAGTCCTAACCTCCTGCCTTCTTCCCTCCTATCTCCTTCCCCTAGTGCATTGAAAGGGGAGCTCTCCCCTGCCATCTGCTCCTAAGTCTCATAAGGACTGTCTGGATCCTCTTATTTTGTTGCCTAGCAAGGCCGCATCGCCAGAGGAAAGTGATCAAAGAGCAGGGAACTGAGTTCATAATAGAGGCAGGCCCTGCTCCCCTTACTCGGGAACCCACATGGAGACTGAGCTGCCTATCGGCTACATCTGAGCAGGGGGGTCTAAGTCCTCTCTGTGCATGGCCCTTGGTGTAAAAGTTTTTTAGAAGTACCTATCACAGCCACAGGAATCAGAATGGCTCAGAAGTGGCTGCAAATGCAATGGCTAGGAACCATCCTGGCTAGAAATAGACTGTTGTCCTAGACTGTTTTCCTAGCTTTGGAAAACACTGACAGTAGAAAGGTGCTACAAATGCTACAACAGCAATGGATTCTCTGTGTCTAGAGAGAATGTCCAACAATTGGGGGAAGTAGAAGGTTAATGTGGGATATGTATAAAATGGTCAACAGCTGACAGTTTTGGCACAGACATCTTAAGGTAACAAACCTTAGATCTTTGGCCAACCTACCATGGCAGTGTGAGACAGTGCAAGTTTCTGAACACCACCTTCTTTGAAGAGAAGGTTATGCAATATACAAGATAAATACTGGGGGATGATAACCACACAGTGGCCAAGGGAAGGGATCCAGCAAAACAATATTCTCAAAAGAATAAGAAAGCTGTTACTGCTCATAAAGTAGCACTGAGGCAGAGAATAAAAACCATGAAACTATTACCCAAAATTTGGATGTTGGGGTCAAACATTTATCAAAATAACGGAAAAATGATTACTACAGAGCACTAGTACCAAGACTTTGCACACTGCTTTGACTGCTCCTGATGATGCATGTGGTCGGGAACCAGCTGGACTGTTACTGTGAAGACTTGGAAATGTAGGAAGACAGATGTTCATTATGTTAGCTCTAGGAACATTCAAGCATATTATGCTTATGAGCTTTCAGATGGCAATGAAGAATACCAGGGACAGGAACAGAGGCCACAGATGATAGTTTGCAAGAACTATCTGCATTTTGTCCACATCCTGAGAACTCGTTTGATTTTACATTTAAAAAATTTAAAGGTCATTGAATAGTTAGTATGATACAGAAAATCTCAAAGAAGCCAGCGTTTAGGCTGCAGTATGATTAATGTTACTAAGATGTTTTATCAGTTCCGTCTTAAACATTCGAGTTGTTCAACTAAATAACCTGAGCGGTGGGGATGATTCGACTTAGGCACAATTTATTGCTGAAAAGAAACATGAACTTGAAATTTAGTTATGTGTGCTAAAACCTCTGCCATAAACTCTAAACAGAACCAGTGTCTTATCAAACCAAACCTGTGGAAATGTTCTATAAGTTTGTCGTCTCACGCTCTTGTTTGTTGCTCTTCAAAGATCCTCCATGTTAATTTGCAAAAGCAATTTCAAAACTACATACCATCTCCACAACTCTTACCCACCTCTATGACCCCTCGTATTCTTCACTACCATGGGGAACTCCAGCACTTCCGCTTCATCAATCATTTTAGCGAAGTTTTCATGGCCACCTGGTTTGAGGAAAAAATTAATTAAAGGCTAAGAGTCAAAGTATGTTGGGACCAGTTTTAAGCATAATACAAGGTAAGAGATTGGTGGCTAGTTTCTGTTTTCTTGAAGAAATTATGTATTAACTATCCACTGAAAACAGCATCTTTGGGGATTAGAGAAATGGCTTATTTATTAAAAGCACTGGCTACTCTTCCAGAAGACCTAGTTGATTCCCAGCACCCACATGGCAGTTCTCAGCTATCCAAAACTTTCGGAGGATCTAACACCTACTTCCAGTCTCTGCTGGCAGCACATATGTGCAGACAAAACATCCACACACACAAAATAATTAAAATTAAGAACTACAGTGAGAGACAGAGATAGACAGACAGAGATCGAGATAGAGACAGAGAGATCTACACCTACAGCTTATACCTACAGTTTTCCTCTAGTAGTTACATGGTTTCAAATCTCACACTGAAGATTTTAAGTCATTTCTGAAATTATTTTTCTGGAGGATGAAAGATAGGGACTTGGCTTCTTCTCTTGAGGCTATCTAGCTTTCTTAGCATGCAACAGTCTCTTTCTCCAATGCATGATCTTGGCCATTCTTTCTGCTGAGAAGCAGATGGACGTAGTTTAAATGAGTTTATCTGAGGCCCTGCTATATTCCAAGATGTATACATCTGCTTTTGTCTCAGTACTTCCCTGCGTTCTGTTCTGTTTGCAGCACTGAGGATTTAACCCAGTTTCACTTATGCTAAGCAAGCATTCTTAGCAGGCTATATCTCCAATCTCTTTTTTATTTTTAACTGTAGACAAAGTTTCACTAGGTTACCAAAGCTGGCCTTGGCCTTGAACTCACTCTGCTGTGCTTCAACATGTGATTCCCCTGCCTCCACCTTCTGGGTAGCTGGGAATAGTCTGACTGTACCACTAGGCCAACACAGTTTTGTTTTGTTGGTTAATTTAACACCCCTCTCTTTATACACGGGATTTCTTAGGTGTTCCTACAGTGAGTTCTTAGCACTCACTGGTAAATTTTGCTAATGTTTTCATTGCTCAGAAAAAAAATGACAGAGCTGCAGGGTGAGAGCAAAAGGGGACTGTAGCTGTAAAAAGAATCAGCATGATAACAGAAAAAATTAAGTCAAAAGGATTGTGATATCAGTGCAACAGGAACAATTTGCAATTTACAGAAATTAAGATATCCTCTTATAAAATTTTAATCCCTCACCATTAATGGTATAATTTACTATCTACTGATGCTTTTTCTCCTTCCCAAACTAAAACCCCAAGAGCATTAGGACCTTTAAGTGGTTCACACTAATTTTGTACTTTTGTGTAAATACTAAACGCAGTAATTGCATCAACACATTTAAAGCCTCATTGAATCCTCAAGCGTTCTACTGAGCACTAGCTGGAGAAATGTTTTTGTAGAAAATTACAGCATATTTAGTCTCATCACTCAGGAGGCTGAGGCAGGCAAATCTGAATCTGAGTCCTCCTGGTCTATAGAGTGAGTTTCTGGACAGCTGGGGGTAAACAGGGAAACCTGTTGTGAAAAAAAATGAAAAAAATAAAAAAAAAGGGGGGGGGGAAAGGAAGAAAAATATGATAGAATGCTTTTGCAAACACTCTGTGAGGTGGTAAATCCAATAATTCTAGTACCAGAAAAGCAGAGGCTGGAAGACTTGAAGAAAGCCTAAGCAAGTTCAAGGCAATCAGCCTTAAACAAAATTAACAACTGGAAGGTCAGGAAATAAGCATGGTAATATTCATAGCAGTGGCACTCAAAATGCACCTCTATGACATGTTTGATATTGGCAGGTGATCAAGTACAAAAAGCATTAGAAGCTTTTTCAAGTTTATAATGGCTGTGAGATTTATTATTGCACTTTAATGTTAATGCCCATCAAATTGACTTAAAAATGATCCTTTGTCACAGAGTTTAAGTACTGCTTTAAAGCATACAATCTTTAATAAGGTCATTTTCTTAAACAATATAAAAATATTGTTATGAAAAACCCAAGGCCTGTGGGGTATTTCTGACCTACTGCCTGATTTTACAATAAAGTTTTATTGGAACAGAGATATACTCATTTGTTTAAAGCATTGCAGTTAGCAGCTTTCACACTGTAAGATAGTACTGCTAGTTCCCACAAAGAACTTCTGGTCTGTAAAACCAAAGATGTTTACTAACTGGACTTTAAGTGTTTTGTCAAAACTTTTGAACCCCTTGTCACAAAGCTATCCTTAAAATGTGATTCACAGAGCAGTTGAGAGATGGTTCACTGGGTAAGGACACAGGTTCAATTCCTAGCTCCCACAGGGTAGCTCAAATTGTAAGTCCAGCTCTAGGAAATCCAATGACCTCTTCCGGCTTTTGAAGGCACTGCATGCGTGCTGTGCACATGTATACATGGAGGCACTCGCACCTTAAAAAAATAAACATGATTAGTCCTCTGGCCTAGGATGTTTGTGTGCCTTGCTATATAACTCAGACTGGCCTGGAAATCTTCCCGCCTCTACCTCCCTCTTCACCACAGACATCTTGAAAGTTACTTCTATAAGAGAAACTCTCTCTGGTTCAGTTATGTACTCTATTAGTTAAATATGGGATACCAACCACTTTTCTTCTTGCTCCCATCAATGTGTGAGAGAGATGCATGTACTGGTTCCTGTGTACCTTGCAGAAGGATGTTGCTCCCATCAATGTGTGAGATGGGATGCATGTACTGGTTCCTGTGTACCTTACAGAAGGATGCTAAGTGTCTTGCTCTACCACTAGAAAGTGCCTTACTTCCTGAGACACTGTCTCTCACTGAACCTGCAGCTATGCTGGGAGCCAGCATCACCTAGCTCTCTTCCTGCCCACCCTCACAGCACTGTGCTCACAGGACATGTGGCACATCCATCTTTTATGAGAGGGCAGGAGATCTGAACTCTGGTTCTCACGTTTGTGAAGCAAACACGCTTCACGCTTACTGAACCATCTCGCTAGTCATGCAGATTATACATTTTTATGTGTGATCTCACCGTAAGAAAAAGTATCTGGTAGAGGTACACCATGGCCAGCTAGCTCTTGAAACGTCCAGAACTTATTAACACAGTTCAGGATGGCTTGAGGTCGGTTCATCAATCGGCACCCCATCTTCTCTAGGTGGCGCAAAACGGTGACATCACTATCACTCTGCACCCACGGGGTTGGAACCCTCACTACCACCACCTGTGGGTAGGCAGAGATTAGCTCTCCATTGATCCGCAGGCCTGGAAAACATAATAATGAAGCTAAAATCACTGGAAGGAGTATGCAAATTTAAAAAGGATATGGTGGCTGAATCCTGTAATCCTACTCAAGAGACTGAGACAGGTGGATCTGAGTTCAATGCCAGAACTAGAGTGAGATCCTGTTTTTTCTTTACAATTTAAAAAAGTAATAACACATTCAATGTAACTCCATCCAAAATCCCATCTCATTCACAGAAACAGAAAAAAAATTATCCTAAAATTTGGATATGGAACCACAAAAGACCCCAGATAACCAATGGTTCTAGCCAAAACCAAAACATACATGTAGATCATTGGAACAAAACCAAAGATACAAACATGAGTACACATAAATTCAACCATTTAATATTTGACAAAGACACCAAAAGCATTCGCTGGAAAAAAATAATGCATCTTCAACACCATCATAATATGATGGCTCAATCCTATAGTCCCACTCATCAATACTGGGTCCTCACTGGGGACCCAATTATTATCCCAGTTATTCTATTGGTGCCCTGTGTCATGGCAATCCTGCAGCTTTGGATCAACAGGATCGGCCCTGTCACACATTCCAATAGTTCACAGATGATGTGAACAGATTTTGGGGTGGGCCAACTTGAAGCCCTGGATCTGGACCTGAGTGGTAACTGAACTGATGAGCCTACTGGCTCTCCTGCATCTGCACCACCAGGGCAAGCTCTCCCGTCAATAGCTGCAGCACTCAGGAGAGCAGACTGGGTACCTTGCTCAAGCAACACAGTGGAGGCGGCACTCTTGAGTCAGCCCCAAGGGTGTGAGAGCAGGAGGGTTGGCACAGCCTCTGGCTACAGGGTTTGGTAGAGTGGGCCCTATACATCGACTGGGCAGCACAGCAAAGCTGGCTATAGAGGTGTGGCTGTGGGTAAGAAGAGCATGAGGGCAGGAGAGCTGATCCTGCTTCCTGCTGATTGGGTGGGCTGAGCCAGAGCAATGCAGGTTCTGCTCTCCCAATTATGGCCAACACTGAAAGGTGGGGCCAGCTGTCCTGAGTGCCACAGCCAGGAAGGGGCAGGGCCAGGAACAGAGGAGATTTTAAGAGTCAAAGAATCAGAGAATTTGCTATGAGATTGTGTCTCCTAGTTATGTCAGAAGCTATATCCATTAAGTTTTACCAATATGACTGTCTAACGTGAGTTGAATGAGGACAACAGCAATAGATATGCTAATATGGACAGGGGAAAGTCCAAAAGGCCTCAATCCTACATAAAGACCTATATGAGTGGGAGAAAGTCCTCCCCAGGAAAGAACACACAAGCTTCTCAGTACCAATGGTCAGCACTAAAAACACATACAAGTAATATTATATAGACTGAGCAGGTTGTATTTTATGTATTTAATAATATGTATGCATATACTCATGTACGAACAATTAATTAAAAGAGGACATGATTTTGAAAGACCAGGAAAGAGTATATGGGAGGGTTTGGAGGGAGGAAAGGGAAGAAGAAATGATTTAACTATATCATAATCTGAAACTTAATATTTTTAAGATATAAAAAAGCAATAATAATATAGAAGAATAGTAAAATGCCAAAGCTTGTAGCACAAAATCAAATGTTTTTTTTAAAACGTTTGGACTTGGATATTCCATGATTAATTCCTTCCTGAATGACTTTTCATTCAATAAATATTAAGTAATGACCATATGCAACAATCGTTTTCTAAATTCTCAGTATAAATCAATGAGTAATACAGAGATGATTCATGCTCTCAAGAGTATTCTAGTGGGGAAAGATATATAGTGTATGTCCCATTTTTTATGGTATTCTTTTAGTCATGAGAGTAAATTCTGATAGGTCAGTGAAGTGGCACTAAAAACAAGGTTAGAACAAGTGGTATTAGTGTGTTTTAAGAAAAGATACTTTGGGTGTAAATTAGAAGCAGAAATCATGGGGCAAAACAAAGAACAGATCATGTGCCTCAACTGTGATTTGAATTAGTATAAAGATAAATATCATTTTCTAAACTAATGAGTTCCAAATTGCTCTATGGATACTTATCCTAAGCACTGTCTACTCACAATTCACACCATCTCTCTTCTGCATGAAAGGGGCTTAGAAGACTCACCCATAAAATGAGATGACAATCATAAAGTCTGAAGGTGAATGATTTCCACACATTTCTCACCTTTAGACAAATACTAACAATCCACACCTGATTTTCCTGTACCCATGAAAAGGACGGGAAACCACTTTGAGACAGGGATAGGTCACTTAGTACTGGAAGACTAGGCAAAGTTCCATTTCGATAGGTGTATTAATTTAGTATTCAGACTATAATCAAACCCCAGAGGCTTGAGAATAGACGTGGTGAGAAGTGGTGAAGCTAGGAGGGAAGACATTGCTAGGAAGACAAAGGCTAGGAAAGCTTTGTCCTCCACATCTCCTACTGGGGGGAGGAGTGTGCACGTATTTGTATAGGGCAGACACTACCAAATTACTTAGCTGTCAATTAATTTGGAGGAAACCTCTGTGTAAATTTAAAAATATTCAATGGCAGCCAGCTGAGCTCTCAACAGTCATGCATCTAAAGGTGGAAAATAACTAAATTAATAGTATTATGACCTGGGTATGGTGGCATGTCTTTAATCCTAGCCCTCAGGAGTCAGAAGCAGGCAGATACTTATGAGTTTGAGGTTAACCTGACCTACATACTGAGTTCCAGGACAGCCAGAGGTACCCTGCCTTGGGAAAAAAACAAAACAATACATACATACATACATACATACATACATATAATATGAAAAGTACAGTGCCATTAAGTTTTGGTAAAACAAAGTATATACTTAATTTGGGGGCTGGAGAGATGGCTCAACAGTTAAGAACATTGGGCACACGTCCAGCAGAGTCAATTACAATTCCCAGCACTCAGATGTTTAGGGAGAAATGATATCTACATCTTTCAAAGAAATCTTCCCTAACTTAAGTATTTAAGTATTTATCAGCTACAAAGGGGTGAACAACTTTTTAAAAGTTAAGGTGGCACAAACTAGCCTAATTGATCAAAGTTAAGATCTCCAGCAATGGGACATAGTGACATCTTGTGACCCTGTTTCATGTGCTGTAGTGAGAAGGGCACATGACTTCTGTATTATGTGTCCCTATACTTAGAATATAATAAACTATTTCAGCAAAATACCAATGTAAAATTTAAGACTAGGGGCTGGAGAAATGGCTAAGTGGCAAAAGCACTGGCTGCTCTTTCCAAAGGACCTGGGTTTAATTCCCAGCACCCACATACTGGCTAACAACCAGTCCCAAGGGACTCAATACTCTCTTTTCTGCTGGCACTTCATAAATGTGGTATACACACATACATGAAGGCAAACTACCCATGTACACAAAAGGAAAAATAAATTTAGAGCTGAAGATGTTTCAGTGGTTTGCAGCACTTGTTGCTCTTGTAGAGGACCAAGGTTCAAACTGGTGCCTCACAACAATTTATTATACAATGCTTCTAACCCCCTCTTCTGTCCCCTTTGTGCCCCAGGAATGCACGTGGTACACATACATATATACATGCAGGCAATGCAGTCATAAAATATTTTAAAATTGTTCTGACATATCAGTATTTACTCACTATAAAAAGTGAGTTTTTGTTTTGTTTTGTTTTGTTCTGTTTTGTTTTCCTAAGGGGGCTGAAGAGATGGCTCAGCGGTTAACTGGCTGCTCTTCCAGAGGACCTGTGTTTGGTTCCCAGTACCCATATGGAAATTCTGTCCATAACTCCAGTTCCTGGGGATCCAACACCTCTTCTGGCCTCCTCAGGCACTAAGCATGAAAGTGGTACATACACAAATAAAAGAAAAACAATAGTTTTTAAAAAGAGTAAGAGAGCCAAGCCAGGCATAGTGTGGCATGCCTTTAATCCCAGCACTTGGGAAGTTGAAGCAGCTACACATAGAGTCCTGTCTCAAATACATACATAAACAGCCATACTGAAAATAAAGTACGGGCCAGCTATATTGGAATACCCCCTCACGGGGAAGAGGCAAGATAATCAAAGGTTCAAGGTTCAGTTACATACTGAATTTGAAAGCAACCTTAGTCACACCAGACCCAGCCTCAAAAACAAAACATAAAACAGCTTCATGGAATCTTATCTTACTGTGCCCTGCACCACCTTTCTTAGTAGAGCACTGTCTCCTAGAGAACTTGGCAGCACAGTAACTCCCTGGGAATGGAAAGGAGTACACATTGTTTTAGCAGTGCTCTGACCTGTTGGGGTACTGCCAAAGGATTGGTTCCTGTTCTACAAAGGTTCCCAGGTAGGAAAAGCTGCAGAGAAACCTAAGATCAGCAGTTACCTGAAGCAAGCCATTACAGAAGCAGAGCTAATGACCTTGGCCCCATCACCAAGCTGCAATGAGAAGCTGTGAAACAGACATCCAAAAATAGAACGGAAGTCAAGACACACACAAGCCTAAGCAAAACACACATGCTCAGAAAGGCCTAGATTCTGAAGAACTCTCCTCACGCCAATGCAAACGAGTTGAGTATATATTTCTCCAAAACAGACAAGTGGGCCATTTGCTCTGGAAAAGATACTCAGCTTTCTTTGCCCAGTTACCACTGTATACAGTGAGTTTTCACCTGAACCTATGAGCCACCATATGGGTACTGGGAATTGAACCCAGGTCCTCTACAAGAGTAAGTGCTCTGACCACTGAAATATCTCTCCAACCCTTAAGTTACTTTTACTTCTCTTTATATGGGTGCTCGGCCTGCATGTATGTCAATATACCCAATATGTGAAGGGCATTGCTGATCTTGCTGACTGAAATGATATATAACACCACTAATCACTAGGGGAATGCAAGTCAAAGCCATCATATTCATTAGAATGGCCACTGTCAAGTAAGTTAGGCGGGGCATGTGATCAGTGGTATACATTCTTGTAGCACAAGCTCCAAGTTCATCTCCAGAATCACAAAAAAATAAGAAAACAGACAAGCTGACATATGTACAATACTGAAACCCTGTGCCCTAATGATATGAATGCAATTAGATAAAGTGTAGCGTAAAACATTAAATAGATTAATATTTGGCCTTTAGAAGGGAGTGTGATGTGTGCATTTTACAGGAGATGGAACTCTGTGGGAATCGTTATGCTGGCCAGGCCGTTACTCAGGCTGTTGTCACAGCACTCTCTGAGTCAAAGCCAGCCTACACCACGGTGAGCACCAGACCAGCTTGGTTTACACTGACAGCCTTCTCCCCTACCAAAAAATAAAGCATGCTAAATGAAATAAACGAGACACAAAAGTACAGCTATTGTCAGAGAGTGTTAACTGTCAACTTGACCCAACTAGAACCTCCTGGCAAGAGAGTCTCAATGAGGGACCGTCTGTGGAAAACTGTCTTAATTACCCTAACCGGTGTGGAAAGACCCAGTTTACTATTGCAATGCATAGAAACCAAGCCAAGCCCAAGCAAACAAATGAGCATCTACATATTCACTCTGCCTTTGACTGTGGATATGCTATGACTAGCAATCTGAAGTTCCTGCCTTGACTTGTTCACAATGCTAGATTCAACAGCAGGCTGAAATAAACCAATTTCTCTGATAAGTTGTTGATTTTTTTTTTCTGGGTATTTTACTATACTAATAGAAGAATAAAAAAGCTTGACATCAGAAATAGAGTCAGATGCCACAGGGCGTCAGATTTTAAAACACTATGAAGCTGGGCTTAGTGGCTCACACCTGTAATCTCAGCACAAGAGAGGTTAAGACAGAACTACAACTTTTAGGCCAATCAGAGCTACATAGGAGGAGTTCCAAGTCCGGCTAGGCTAGAGTGAAGTAACTATGACAGATAGCAGGCAAAACCAGACAGAAACAAACAAAAATGGTACATTCAGAAAACACTAATAAAAAGTGCCTTTGGCAGAAACTTCACTACATTGGACTTAGCTGGAAATTAATCTCAGAACCTGATAACACAATAATCACCAAAAAAATGAAAAGTAATTTTCTTTTTCTTTTTTTTTAAGAAAGAGATTATCCAAAACCCACAGGATGACAAGAAATGTAACAGATATTATGTCTAACTGAAAATTAAACATAAGTATTTTAAACAATAACTACGTGCCATTCCAGACTAGAAAGCTCATTAAAAAAAACAAGTATCAATACCACATAAAGTACATGTAGGAGAGCCACACGTGGTACCTTATGCCACTAGTCTACCTCAGCACTGAGGTAGAAAAAGAGGATGAGACGTTTGGGGCCAACGTAGGTTACAATATTCCACATTATAAGCAACCTAACTTGTTTGACGAGCGCTGTTTTCATTACCTTTCCTATGCCCACAAGTCAGCTGACACAAGAGTTTGACCCAAGTATGTCAATTTGATAGCAAGAAACCTGCTATCAAATGGGGTGGCTTTGAGATGAAGCAAGGAGTGTGAAGTCAAAACCACAGTCAGAGATAAACAGGGAAAATAGAATCCTGGCAGCCCAAGGACAGAGCCCCAAAGGCAAGGTTTCATCAAGCAACTCCACCTTAGTTTAACAGTCCAGTTTGCTTTGCTTTGTAATGGGTTATGTACTGAGGAATATGTTCCAAAAAAAAAAAAAAAAAAGTCTTGAGGAATATTATTTTTAATAAAAAGAAAAAGAGAAGCTGTTTTGTCACCTCCCTCCAAGAGGATGGCATTTAGTATAGTATTAGAGCTGAAAAGTTGGCTCAGCAGTTAAGAGCACTTGTTGCTCTTGCAGAGGACCAACGTTCAATTTCCAGCACCTTATGACAGCTTGCAACCTTCCCAAGGGATCCAATGCCCTCTTCTGACCTCCAAAGACACCAGGCACACTTGTGATACACATTCATACATGCAGACAAAACACCCCCACACAATAGGTAGTAATCTAAATATATTATAAATTTAAGACTAAAAATGCCTGGATCCATAGATAGTACATCAATAAAGAAGCCCTGCTTAAGGACCGGCCCTGCCAACAAGCAAGGTGGTTTTATCATATGAATTAACCTAGTTATGCAAATGCCTCACAGGAAGGCACAGAAGCAATTCTCTTGAGCAATTCTAGATCCTGTGAAGGTACTTTTTGTAGGCAGTTAAATTTTTATTTGTATGTATTTACTTAGGACCAAGTTTCTCTGTAGCCTTGGCTGTCCTGGACTCGCTTTGTAATTTGTAGACCAGGCTAGCCTCAAACTCTCACAGATCCACCTGCCTCTGCCTCCCAGGTGCTGGGATTAAGGGCATGTGTCACCCCGTCTGGCAGACAATTAAATTTCTATAAAAACTAGAAAGTCATTTTTAGATTTCCTCCCCACTCCTTTATACATAAAACAATTTAGGAAGTATTATGTTCCTATGTCTTCCATAAACAGACTAGCTATGTGAGTGGTACTTTTGATAAGGCTATTATGACTTTATTTGTCATCATTATTACAGAAACAGGTTCACCACAGAAGAGCATTTGTATAGTCTTACCCAGATTTCCTTGCTCGACTGTCAGCACCACCTCATCCATCACCACAGCCCTGAAGTCCAATTCCTCCTCACAACATTTGGCCTTCAAAGCTCGTAAGATCTCTTTTTGCGGATAGTCTTCCCTGATGCGACGATCTGTCAAAAACCACAGCTTGGCAGCCACGGAGCTACACATCTTGGATCTGCCTGTTCTTCCTTTTCCTTATTCCTTGAATGTAAACTTTTATCTAGATGGAAAAGAAAATACACAAGATTGATGAAATGTTGTAGGTTTTTGGATTTCACAAATAAATGTTCTAGCTTTCTGCCAGCTAAATAAGGAAGTAGAGGGAAATACTTCCAGCTAATCCGAGTTCGGAGGGTAGACACAGGAGGATCAGGAACTCAATGTTCTCCTTAGCTGAACAGAGAATTTAAGGCCAGCCTCAGTGACCCTGTTTCAATACTATGTCTTCTCCCTGCCGGAACACCACTAAAAATATAGATATACTCTCAAAAAAGATTTCTCCATTTTTCTGGCAGTATAGCGGTATAGCAGTTCACATACCACAAACTTAAAATACAATTTCCCTGTATTAATAGAATATTGATTTTTGTCTACAAATACACTTAACCTGATTGTCTCTATTTTTACTATTTCATCCCTTCCCTTAAAATTCCAATTCTTGGGGGCTGTGAAGATGGCTCAACAATTAAGAACACTTGCTCTTGCAGAAGACCTGAGTTTAATAACTGCACCTACATGCTAGCTCACAACCATAACTCCAGTTACATTCAATACCCTCCTATAACCTGGTGCCATGTGTGGGCAACAGGCATGCACATGGTGCAAAAATGTACATGTAAGCAAAACACTCATATGCATAATAAATCCAAAAAATTTTAATAATATAAACTCCGATTCTCAGCCGGGTGTGGTGGTGAACGCCTTTAATCCCAGCACTTAGGAGGCAGAGGCAGGTGAATCTCTGAATTTGATGCCAGCCTGGTCTATAGAGGGAGTTCCAGGACAGCCAGGGCAACACAGAGAAATTCTGTCTCAGAAAAAAAAAAAATTTTTTTTAAGTCCCTTCCTGGTATGAAATGGTTTGTATTAAAATCACTGACAGTATATCCTATTTCCCCATCACTAGATAACCCATTAAGTTTATACTTTTATCTATAGTTTTATATTTAAAAATTCCCTTGCTTTTTATTGTTGTATAGGTAATTAAAAGCTCATATTACTACATAAGTATTAAAATTACTACCTAAAATGCTAAAGAGCAAAGTTTAGAGAATGAACAAAATGGAGCTCTACATAATACAAACTAATACCCATGTCCATCACTGTGTGCTGATTTTTCAGGGATAGAACTCTCTTACTCCGTGTTTGTGTCCCTTCTTTAAATGGAACATTCGAAACATACTTTACTAGAGTAAAAAAAAAAAAAAAAAAAAGAGAGGGAGAAAGGGAAAGTCTTTCCACTTTCTAGGGTACCACTTCTCTGAATCTGAATCACAAATCTTGGGGTGAGAGGTGAGAGGATTGTAAGAGAGAAGGGAAACCAATTGGGAGCATCTCTGGAACAAGCTGGAAACCCTCGATGGGGTAGGCTCCTGGGAGGATATGGGGGTGACTCTAGCTGAGACTCCTAGCAGCAGAGAGATATGGAGGCTGAAGTGTCCCCCTCCTATACCCAGACAGGACTTGCAGTGGAGGGGGACACAACCCAACCACAAAACCTTTGACCCAAAATTAGCAGGAATAAGGATGAAGCAGAGATTGAGGGAAGGGCCAAACAATGACTGGCCCAACTTGAGACCCAAGGGAGAGAGCCAACCCTGAGACTATTAACGACACTCTGCTATACTTGCAGTCAGGAGACTATCATAACTGTCTTCTGAGAGGCTCTACCCAGCAGCAGATTGAAACAGGTGCGGAGATCCATGGCCAAACACTAATTGGAGTTTGGGGAGCCTTGTGGAACTTTCGGGGAAGGATAGAAAGATCCTATCAGGCAAGAACTTCACAAAAAGACCAGTAGAGCCAATTAAAGACCATAGGGGCTCTAACAGAGACTAAAGCAGCAACCAAAGAGCATGCAATGACTGGACCTTGGTCCCCTACACATATGTAGCTGATGGGCTTGGTCTTTATGACAGGCCCCTAGCAATTAAAGTGTGGGCTGTCCCTGACTTGGACTCTGTTGCCTGCTTTTGGATCACTTTCTGCTAGCTGGGCTGCCTTGTCAGGCCTCAGGAGAAAAGGATGCATTTAGTCCTGATACAGTCCAGGAGTGGGTTGGTGGGGGGCTACCCCTTTTTTGAGGAAAAAGAGAGGTGGGAAAAGGGAAGAGGGTGGTAAGGCAGGACCAGGAGAAGAGGGAGGGAGCTGCAATAGGAATGCAAACTGAATTCAAAAAAAGAAAGGAAGAGAGAAAGAAAGAAGTCTTCCTGAAAAGCAAATAGTTTACCATTAAACACAGTTTGATAATAAAGAAAAGAAAGTTTAAAAACCCTTTTTAGTCAAGCAGACCTCTAGTGAATTTGAGGACACCCTGGGCTACAAAATGAGACTGTCAACCCCATTCCAAAAATACACCCCTAAAAAACTTAAAGAACAGGGCTGAGCTTGATGGTGCATGGCTTTAATCCCAACATTCAGGAGGCAGGGGTAGGCAGATCTCCATGAGTTTGAAGCCAGCCTGGTCTACAGAAAGAGTTCCAGGACAGTCACAGGGCTGCTGTTATACAGAGAAACCTAGTCTGGAAAAGTTTAAAACAAAACCAAAACAAATGAACCTTCAAGAACCGTTGTCCCTTGTCCATAGCATTCTGCTTTTGAGGGAGGGCTATCTCCCCCAGCCTACCCACATTGCTCACTCCCATCTAGAGCACATATTTCCAAATAACCTGCACACATGCTCTTGTACACTTCAAATCACCTCTAGATCAAATACAGTACAAATAATAGGTAAATGTCTATACTGTTCAATGTTCAGTACAGACACTATTCTTGGTTAGTTGAAGCCACTGATACAGAACATATGAATAGAAAGAATTATCACTGTTCAAGGATCATGCCAGATGGCATGGAAATCAATCCAGAAACAAAAGTCAAGATTAGAAGGAAGCAAAGGCGAGGGAGACCAGCAGCCTCCTGGAGCCAGAAGTCAGAAACAGTCCTTCACTGGACCCTTCCCCACTCTCCCAGATATTTAAGGACTTGTTTCATAGACCCACCAGTAAGCCAACAGTATACACCCTCAGTATTTTGACTTGGCAAACCTATCACCCCAACACAACTACAACCATTTCCTCAAAGGTAAGCCAATGTTTTTTTTTTTTTGTTGTTGTTGCTGTTTGTTTTTACGCCAGAAGGTAATCTCTGCCAGATACAGTAATAACTCAATTTAGGCTAAGAAGAAATCCAGTCAACAATACCATATCATCCCCAATTTTGGAAAATTGTAAATTACAATGATTGTGCTAGTTTAAGATACTTAAATTCATCAGAAGACAACTGCTATAAGAGAAATGTTTTATTGCCTCATAATGGGGTATCCTTTACACCTATAAGTTACAAACCTATGCCCCCACCCCTTTTTTTAACCTACAGGTTTTCTGTATGTGGTGATTTACTTTGAGACAATGTCTCAAACACAACCCTCTGGCCTCAACTTTCCTCACCATGCCTAGCCAAACACTTTTTTTCTAGCTTTTTTCAAGGGTCAAGAAGCTGCTTGCCTCGCCTTTGCTTCCTTCTAAACCTGACATTTGTTTCAAACATTTTTCAAAGTTTTTCTTGAATTAAGAGTTTCACTTTAACCACAGATACGGAAAACTTACAACGCAAATCTGCACTGTCGTTATCTTTACTGGAAGGGACAAATGTTTTCTTTTGAAGGGTAATGTGGAAGTACTCTCTTCCCTGTGGATAACCACAGCGAAGGCCAAAGTGTGCACCCAACCAGATACTCTATCTGCTGCAGATGGCAAAAGTACTCACTGGGAAGTTATAATCACACAAGGCTTTTAAAGTTACATGAAAAGGTCTCACTCAAAGGTAAAGCCACATAGAAAAGTCACAACAAAGTAGCTAAGAGATTATTCTCTTCCCTTGAGAAAAGAAAACATACTTGCATTCAGTGTTTTTTAAACATTCATTGACTGCTAACATTCCAGAGCCAGCTCTGTACCTGGGCTTACACTTGTTTCTTGAACCTTACTTATCTTTTCATGGATAGCTAATTTTACTGCATGATGGACTTTCCTATGAGGGACGGTTGCTGTCCCAGCAATCATAATTACATGCTTTTTGGGAGGGAGAAACATCTTGTCAATAGTAAGCCAACTGTTGGAAATTATATGATAACAAATTTTTCCAGTGATTCCCTATTAATATTTCACTTTAAGAAGAAAATTCTTGAACGTTCTTTCCACATGAAGTCTCTAGTTAGTAGTTAGAGGTCTGACTTGCACTTGTCACCGGCTGAACCATAGAAGCAGTCTCAGCACAGGTAGAAGGGCAATTTTAGTTGAAGGGCATCACCACGATGCTGCATGCCCAGCTCAGAACACTTGGGTCCTAGGCAGGGAAAGGGCCTACTTCTATCTCACGTGCTCAAGACTGATGCTATGTACACAGAATACTTGGACGATTTGCTGCCTTACTGATGGCAAGTGCCTTTACCTGCTAAAGACATCTCCCTGGCCCCAATATTTACAATTTTAAAATATGAGAGCCCCTCCCAATACAATGGCTACTTTTCCTACAGGTGTAAGATATAGGGAATTTCGGCAAATGTTATTAACATAAGCATAGTCCTCTTCCCCTAACCCCTTTAAACAGAATCTAACTAGATGAGGCTGACCTCCAACTAGCAACTTTTCCATCTCCATCTCCAAAACACTGAGTGTAGGTGTGTGCCGCCAGATCACTTCCTCTCTTATTCTGTCAATATAAGAGGTCAAATAATTCCTATCCCTTTTTTATTTCTTCCAAAGTATCAAAGAAAACAATGCATAAATACCAAATTGTAAACACTAGTGAAAAGTAGGTTTTAATTTAATGTCTGTATTAGTTTAGTCTGCATGCTTGCTATGTGCATACATCATGTTCATACCTGACAACTTTGAAGGCTAAAAGAAAGCAGAAATGAAATTACAGAAAGCTGTAAACTGCCCCATGTGGGTGCTGGTAACAAAACCGGGCTCTTCTGCAAGAGTAGCAAGTACTCTTAAC